TTCATATTTGTCTCACTTCGTGTCAGTCTGTAAATCTGTTTATATCTTACAAATATTGTCATTAATTCATGTTTATTGATTTTTCAAAGTTTCTATTTACGTTAAAAACTTTCATCATTTTTTAAGCTCGTACAAAATGTACAAAAAGTTAATCAGTTAAACTTTTAATTGCGTATTCTTTAAAAAACGCTAATTTTCAGCAATAGTTTGAGGCTATATTTAAATTTTAATAAAAAATGTAGGCCTAATTCCGAAAATAATTAATTTGAACTTTGCATGTTTATAAAGCAGATACTTTTTATCCAAATCCATTTGATATCCCAATTCGATCCTAATACAAAAAAGGTTATTGTTAAATTCAACATTTTTAATATTTGTGATCAAAACCCATTAATATTTATTTCAAAGTCTATTATATATTGATATAGATAAAAGTGCATCGTCCTATATACTAAATGAATGAACAATATTTATTATATATACGTTTTAAATATATATATACTATATACTATATACTATGTACTATATACTATATACTACATACTATATACTATATACTATATACTATATACTATATACTATATACTATATACTATATACTATATACTATATACTATATACTATATACTATATACTATTATATATATATATATATTATTGTGAAAATCTTTTATTTCCACAGCTTGAAAGCCCCACAACCGACTTCTGAATTTATTAGTTTTTTTTTATATGTATTATATTTTTTATGTGTAGTTTTTTTTATATATATTTGAATATCTATATATTTACTCCAAATTTAAAGAATTGTGGCTCGAACTCTTTACTAGCTGATCTAATGTATTTAAGATTTATCAAATTTTGAATACCCACTTATTAACACTTCACAAATATTTCATATAGAATTCGTTTTATTTCATAGATTTGAATGGGCTTTCGGAATAGCAAACATATTTTGTAACGAACAACAATCCGTTGAGTGCCAAAATTAGAATATATACGTACGACGTTCGTTTTAAAAATAAATTTAATTTCAAAGCAACAAAAAAGTAAAGCGCTTGAGAATTAAATTATAGACACCAAGCAGGATGGGGGAAAATGTTAGAAATTAGAGTTAAGTAAGTCATAACAGCAGTACTAATGGTAGTTGTAGTAATAATAATAGCATTAGACACAGGACACATAAAGTGTAGTAGTAGCCTACATAATAGTATGAAGATACTTGACCCACATGTGAGGCAATCACAGCTAAACTCAACTATAACTATATGAAACATACAACAAGCGCTCTAGTCTGTATTAAAGCATTAGTACATATACTTGCATATGCAGTTTATTTAACATGTGCATAAAGTAGGCCGATCGTCAAGGGGGAAGCAATTGTAACGGCCTGCCAACATTATTGTTAAGTATATTCGATAATTGGCACTCAAATATCGGCTAATCGTAATTTATCAACATATCGCAGTCAATAATTCTATTACGATTGTTTTATTTTATCGGCCAGCCACCACAACCCTTTTGTCGATAGCTGTGCAGTTCTATTTGCAAATTTTGAAGAACAACGAAATAAGATATCTAAATACAAGCATATATACTCATATGTATGTGTAATTTGACGTTTTTGTTTGATTCGTTGCTGTATTTGTGATTCTCGCCTTCTGTTTTTTCACAGTGACGCTGCAAGGCGCACCTTCGTTTCCCCCGACCACCAGCATCCGTTGTTGCTGTTGTTCCTGTCTGACTGACGCATCTGTCGTAAAAATTGTACTACGTTTGCGTCAGGTCCAAGGGTAAAGATGGCCAGCGAGCCAGAAAACAAACCGCCCATATTACACATTTTGGTAGTTGGCTTCCATCATAAGCTTGGCTGTCAGGTGGAGTTCTCGCATCCGCCGTTAATCGCCGGTTCAAGTGGCCGCAACGAATGTCCCTCCGGCTGGAAATACTTACCCACTTTGGCACTGCCAGATGGCTCGCACAACTTCATGGAGGACACAGTGTTCTTCAATTTGCCCAGTTTGTTTGAGCCAGCTGCAAGTATTTACGGCGTATCTTGCTATCGCCAAATTCCCGTAGAGAAACTTAAAATACGCACAGCAGACGTGACGCGCAGCACCGTACAAAAGTCAGTGTGCATATTGGCACGCCTGCCCATCTATGGTTACATTGAGGTAAAACTAGCGCTAATCGCCGACGCATTCTTTGACCAGGGCGACTTTAGCTGCACCGAGCTTCTTGTCAAGGCATATCAACAGCTGAATGCCTGCCTGTTGGACGAGGAGACGCACCGCCCATTGCGTCACTTCCATGTGGGTCTCTCGCTGCGCGAGATTGTGCTACACTGGCGTCACAAGAGCCTGATGTTGTTCAAGTTGTTGCTGCTGCAAAGACGTGTGGTATGCTTCGGCTCTCCAGTGCGCGGCATGTGTGTGCTTATACTTGGTATGGCTTCTCTGATACCGCGATTGCTGGAGAAGGGATTCCAGGAGGTAGCCTGTGTGCGCACTTCGCGGCCGCTGTCGCCCATGCCCGACTTTACCGACTCGCTGCAACGTGAGGCGGAGGCCGTTGCTGAAGCCGACGCTGAAACCGATGTCGTTGCAGAAGCGGAAGATCTAACGGTGGTCTCGTCAGCAGCCTCTGCTGGCTCACAGTGCTGCAACAGCAGCGGCAATACCTCGCCGCATACAACTCCAAACTCACAGTCACACGACTCCAGCTGCCCAACCACAACGCCGACGCACAACGAGTTGCAGCGCATCGACTCAACGGAAAGCGGCACCAGCGCGGGTGGAGGTGGCAAACGGAGTGGACGTAGTAGCTCATTGACTCGCGAGGCAAGCGTCGACACATTGGCCTGTAAGTGTAATCGTCTTATCTAGTAAACTTTCCTTATCCAAATCTTCTTTATGTTAGCTAATCTTGCCGCACTGTGCGCCATAAATCCTGACGAATATCGCGCTCCTGTCAGCATTTTTGCCAGTGGAAATCTGTGCCTGCCCTACTTGTCGCTACCGTACATGGACCTGCTCAGCGATCCAATGGTGCTCTCCTACATTATTGGCACCTCCAATGTGCTGTTCCAACAAAAGCGCCAGCTGGCTGATGTCCTCGTTGATATCGAAGCAGCTAATTTGGATGCGCACGATCCGGAGTTGCGGCGTCAGCTAGTGCTCAGCACAGAGGACCTGCGCTTCATGGACTACATACTGAAGCATGTACAAACGCCCAAAGAGGATGCCGAGGGTAGCGAATATTGGATACGTGAGCAGTTCCAGGGTTATATATTGGCGCTACTACGCACAGCGGTCGCACCTGGTAAGTAGCAATGTGATTTTATGCAGTAAGCTGCATCGGATTAATCTGTTATGTTTGCTTAGATATCAAGGACAATGATCACTTTAATCCGCACTTCATGAACGCCTTCAAGCGTACACAATGCTACCAGGAGTGGTTCGATGTGCGGCCCGATCCCGAATTTTTTGATGCGCTGCCTGCTGGCCATCCATTTGCGGGCACCCTATCCGTGGCGGACATGAAGCTGAAGCTGGCGCAGTAAGTGCAAAACTAGAACTGATTGATCGAAAAACATAGTTTATATATTGACTTACTTGTTTAGAACCATGCAGAATAGCGAAAGTGGACGTAAGATTAATCAGGCTGTTAATAACACTAGCCGAGCTGTTGGCGGTGCCATCTCGCAGGCCAAAGGCGCCTTCTCGAGCTGGTGGTCCTCTATAACGACTGCGCCGGCTAATAGCACGGGCGGCGTTGCGTCTGTTTCTGGTGCTGGCAGCGACAGCAGTCAAAACCATAGTCTTAGTAATATTGAAGACAGCATTGATGGCGCTGGACCGTCGCAACAGCCGCAGGAGATCTCAGTTACATTCCAAAACCATAAGGACGAAGCGGAGCTTGATGTGGCTGGCGTGAGCATACACATGGCTAGTCAGATATGCGAGGATAGTCTGGAGGAAGCGCACGAATCGCCGCAAAAGTCTCAGGGCATTGTCGAAATTGGCAGAGAGGCGGAGCTGCTGGACAAGGTCAGCCATGGGGAGCCTGCAACGACAACAACTACCCAAGCGCAAACTCAATCTCAGTCACTGCGATCTGGGTGTGGCAGTGACCTAGCTCTCTCAAACGTTGCATCGTCTACTGTGGACCATAATAATGGTGATGTTTTTATTGTTTGAACAGCAAGCGTCAGCAACAAATAACAACAAAAAAACACACACACACACACCTCTGTATAAATTTACCTAAGCTATATACATACTTATTTATTAGAAGAAAACATTGTTTCAGTGCGTTCTCTCCGTTTCCCATTACTCAAATTGGCCAAAAATTATGTTATATTATGTATGTGTATTCGTATGTATGTAAGCCCCGCCCACACAAGTCACGACGTGCTCGTATATATGTGACAGTACAATGTAAAGCTAAACCTAAACCTAAACCTAAAACGTACCAAGTGCAATTTATAACAATGTAACCCAAATGATTAATATGCATGGCAATGGCAATAACTAGGCGAGAATCCAAAGCAAGCGCATGTAGCTCACCCTATCTCTCTCTCTTTCACATTCATACTTTGTAGAGTATTTTGCAGTCGGCATTGCAATCAGCACAACTATAAGTGTACCTGTGTGTACAATTGAAATGAAAGCCGTTGAGACAAGCTTCTTGACTTGAAATTAATCTGAATAAGAATTTAAACATTCATCTAATAATAAATATACTCGATATGTAATTACTTCATTTGTACGTTTTCTCATGCAAATTAAAAAGTTATTGAATTTAATAAATGATGAAAATTCCTATATGTGACATACTAAATCTATACATAGCTCGACATATCTCTAAATTTCACGGGTGACTAACAAGATTTCGGCTCTCTAAACTGCATTTATTTTATCACTTCATTTACATTCGTAATCGCATTACACTAAGTTCAACATTTTAAACAATATATAATTACATATATATATATATATAAATTAATTATTTATCAGCTTTCTAAACACAGTATCCAGCACGTCTTCAAACGGTGGCAGTTTGCTGTCCTCGAGCTTCTTTTCGATATTGGCTATCCTGGCTTCGTTTTGCGCAATTATCGCATCAATCTCCTTGAGGTGTTCTTCGCCGTGGTCCAGCTCCTGTTTGTATTTCTTGCAGAAGTCTTCTCGCTCGCGCATGATCTCCGCATGTCGGCGCTCGGCACTGCTGAGAACTGCTTCGTTCTCTTTTCGCTTGTTATCCAATTGCTCAATGAGATCGGTCTGTTCGAGCTGCAATTGCTCAAGCTTCTCATTGAGCTCACACTTGCGCTCTTCCAGCTGCTGTTGATGCTGCGACCACATGGCGTCTTTGATCTTGTAGTTGTGATGCAGTTGCTCAATTTGCTGCTCAACTGACTGAATCTGGATACTCAATTGTTTGTTAACCCCATCGATATTTCTATTTTGCTTCGTCAGCTCGTTGATTTGCTGCTCCAGATGCCGCATACGTTCCTTGTGCTGAGCACCGCGCTGCTCTAGCATTGCACTCAGTTTGGTCAGCCGGCAGTTGCGCGCCTGAATGTCGCCCAGCTGTAACGGCAGCGACAACACCAAATCCAACTTATCCTTCTCGCTGGCACTGCATATGTCCGAGTCGAGGCCAATGTTTTGCGCATGCGTATTGAATTTCTCCACCTTGTCCAGCAACTGTTTCTTGGCACGCGAGAATCGCACCTGCTGATCGTAGCCGCGCTCAGTGAATTCACGCAATTGTCTGTTGTAGAATTTCTCCTTGTTCTCCAGATCATTTAGCACCACCTTCTTGGCCTGAAACTGTTCGGCGCTGCACTTTTGCTGACCCAATTCGCGATGCAATTGCTGTCGCTCCTTTCGCAATGCTTTCATAGTGTCTACATTCTGTGCAGCGGTTGCATCGATCTGTTCGATCTTCTCGCGATGCTCCTGCATGTTGGCTTGTATGGACAGCAGTCTATGCTCTAGTTGCTGATTCTGGGCGGTCAACTGCTCCAGCTCTTCGTGATTGTTGTTGCGTGGTTGTTGGAGCTGCTCCTCTAGCTGCTGCAACTCGTTTTGCTGTTGAACTATATCCGCTTCCAGAGCTACAGTATCGGGCAAGTCACAAATGCTTTTTACAATTCGATCGCTAACATTGCGCTTGAGCACCGCATACTCATCCACCTTCTGCTTGTCCCACACAGCGAAGCACTCCGCCGATTTAGTGAACAGCAACTGAGTCGTCTCTTCGTTGAGTATCACGCTGCTCAATTGTGTGTTAGACAGGGCCATTGAATCATGTGTGTTATGCACATAGCTGGACTGCTCGCTAGTTTCCATAAAGGGAAACTCCTCGTATTGGCCAGACTCGTGCTGCTTCTGCTGTGAAGGCGGCGCAAAATCCTTGATAAAGTCGAGCATTACAATGACATGACCAAACGAGTGCTGTGTGGTAGGCGTCATTAGCCAGGACTTATTGACCTGATATGGATAGTTGAGCTTGTGCAATGCGCTCGTGATATCCTCTACGTGGTTGGTGCCTACGGTGGTGCGATTCGGCCAAATGAAGTGCAAAAAGAAATTCACAATGCCCACAAACTGTTTCATAGTCATTTGACGCAGTGCCGCAGCACCTCGGCTGAAAAAATCACTGGGAAAATTTGGTAGCGCATAAATCTGCACCATTTCATCCAGATATTCGGCAATCATCTGCGCCTGCTCCTGCACCCACTTCTTGTCCGTGTGAAATACGACAGGTCGCTCCGTTGACGAAGCCTGCCGATGCCGCAACGGCGTCATCGCATTCCCATTGGCCAGGCTACGTTTCATTGTTGGCGGCAGAGCCGTGCGGTGGGGCGTGCCACGGTCACGATCCTGATTGTACTGGGCAATCCGCGACTGCTGCTGCCAGTCTCTGTGAATTGGCTTGCTAATTGAAGATGATGTTGTAGTTCGCAATTGCGACCTAGGGACAGCAAGGAAGCCATAAGAAAATTAACTTAACTTAAATTCACTTCCCATTATTCCTGTCTGGACTTGCCTTGTTTGTCGTTTGTTAATAACGCCACTTTCATCTCGGCCGTCATCATGGAACTCTGAGGTACGTCGTGGGCGATACATTCTCAAATATTATTGTTGGAAAGCATACGAAAAACTCAATTGGAAAAATACAAAACATGCAAAACTGTAAACAAACCGAATTTTTGTACCGTTTAGCGCGTTAGTTGAAACGACGCGAGTATAGCTTCCACATAGCAGCGCATTATCGATATATCGATAACAGGCCTTCGATTGCGTTGATCTACAGGGCTGCAGTGTCGATATAATAGGCAACACAAAATATCGAGTCTTTAATTTGAGCGCGCTTTCAAATTATTGTTTTTGTTTTTTTTTTCATATAAATTATAAAATGAACAATTTCTGTTTATGAACTTCTTTCGTTTATTCCAACATATTAAATAATTGTAATTATTGTTTCATTTGTTACACAATAATCATGCTATGTTTATGAATTACATTAATTTTTAATTTTTATTATTATTATATTATAATTAAATATCGATCACATTTCCTTGCAGAACGTCTCTTTCCCTGTTCGCTTCATATAACGCACAAACAATATAATAATTAGATACATTATAATTTTACATTCTTGAATGCATACAAATACACAAATATGCTCAACTTAAATTATATTTTACATAAAAAAAAATTTTACATTTACTTTTCTCAACAGGGGCAATAATAAATATGGTTTATTGTTGCTATGAAGAGGTGCGCCTAGCAAAAAAATTGTTGCTTATATTAGGGGGCGGGGGCAAAAAAAATCATATTTAAAACAATAAAGCCAGATTTGCAAAATCAAATCTGCGATAATACTATAAATTGTAATATATAAAAATTAAGTAGGCCATATTTTACGACTAATTTAGTGTACATTTTGTTTAAATATAGTTTTTAGCTGCTTAAAGAATCTTGCGCACCATCCGAACACAAACAACAAATTTGAAATTTCTATTCTATATTGTTTGGTTTGAAGTTTTACACATTGTATGCACTTTAGCTACAACACTCGTGGTGTTCGGGAGAAGCTTATTTGTATATGTATAATATTGTCCTAAAAGCCTTAAAAAATATTACGCAGCATCCGTGCCCAATGCCCAACCAAGCCAAGCACTGGGCACATCTTCAAAATTTACAATATACTCGGTACATAATATCTTGGTAGAGCAAAGGAACACAAGCAAAAGCCATGTGAAAGCTACAAAAACAAAAAAAAAACGATGAAGGAGTTCATCCACAGTTTAAACATTCGAAATATCTTTTTAAAATATTTGCATGGGTCTTTTGTCTATTAGTTTTGCTTTTTTCTATCCTTTTTTTCAATGAGTGCTGTTTTCGTTTTGCTTTTGTTTTGTGTGTGTGTGTGTGTGGATTTGGTGTCAATCTTAGTGTATGCATACATGTACATATATACGGTTTCAGTTTCTATGTTAAAATTTAGGTACATTACAGTTCTTTGTATTATGTTGCTGCAATTTCATATCTTTCTCAATTTGCATTATCCTATTGTGTGCTAACTAAGAAACTGGGCGAGCTAATCGAAAACGATGTTGCGACCCCCACAGCTAAATTATGTATGTAGGCTTTTTTCGTTTGTGTGTGTATGTGTGTGTGGTTGTGTCTGTCGCTAGTTGGGCGCATTTAGTGTGTCCAAATTGGAGCCGTATTGTTTGTTCACAGACATCGTAAAGAGCCAAGCCACAGCCAGCAAACTGCTACCCAACAGATCGCCCAGCGCCGTCAGATATGGTATGGCCGAGTTATCCGGATCGATTTTCCACTTCCACATGGCATGCACAATGATGTGCGCAATGTACAACAGCAACATTACCTATGAATGTCGATGAATGTGTTAATTGAACTCTTGCAGAGTAGATCAACTTCTAGCTTACCTGTAGCAAACTGGCAATTAGATAGGAGAGCATAAACACCCACGTTACAGTAGTTGTGCTCATGTTTATATAATCGGCCGCAAAGATGAACAGTATGTTGCCAGGTATGGACATGGCAATGAGAATGCGAGCCGTCTTCGCATAAGGCACTGCATCAAATAAATGAGAAGAAAGTTTAGCATCAAAATCAATAAACAAATTATTATTAATGCAGTTGTTGCACCGCTCTAACTTACCGCCCTTGAACAGTGCTCGCCATGGCCACTCGACAATCTTCGTGTGCGGTGGTATTATGCCAATAATTGAGCTCTGGTGCAGCATCGTTGATATTTTGCTTGCCTGCACGGACACCAGGTTGCCGCCGATGCCATTAATGATTGGCTGAAAGACCACAAAACCATTGAAGACCTCCACTGCGGCATCCAGCACGAGACCGCCGAGCCTGCATAGGAATAGAGACAAAAGCCATTTGTAAACACATATTGTATAAAGGTATTTAAAGGCTAATCTTGATAAATGATGTTAGACATGGTATTTACACATATTTATCTATATCTATCTAACAAATATTTGCTACTTGACTTCCCTGCCATGCACAAAGCCGATTAGACTTAGCCTCAAGTGGCACAAAAGGCATTAAACCTATTAAACCTAATTAAATGGATATTAATGCCAACAGCTATATTAATATCCATGCAGTCTATAAATATATTAAGTCATGCCAATAACTGTGCCGCATTGACCCTCACAGTGCGAGTCAAGGACGACCAACAACAATGGCAACTAGCAGCGGCTAAGCTGTCCAATTGTTGTTTGTGCCTCGCCGCCTTAAATAAATAATAGAAGCAAATAATAATAAAACCAAAAAATCGATCAATCAAAAAACGTTGCCAAATTTAGCACACTTAACATGAACATGAAATGGCAAAATTAAAAAAAAAAAAACCGAAACATAAAAAATTTAACTCTTGCAATAGAAGCACAATTTGTGCTTGTCACGTTCCAATTCAGGCGCCAGCTGCTTGAAGAGATTGGGAGCTTTGAGTTGTAAGTTGGATCTTACCCGCTGATGCAGAGCGCTGAGAGCACTGGAACCCAGCCGCTTTTCAACACCGGCCGCGTATACTCGTTCTTCAGCACAATGACAACCCACATGGGCAGCAGCACCAGATAGCAGGTAACCACAATGAAAGTGATCCAGAGATGGGTCTCTGCAAAGACGTGAATGCGGGTCATTAGAGGGGAGTGGAAAGAAAAAGGTGAACGGAACACTTACTTATGTTCTCGTAGAGCAGCGAGGCAATGAAAGACAGCAAACTGATGGAGACGACATCACCAATGGAAGCAGCCAGCGGCGTAGCCAAATTATCCGGATTCAGGCGATACTTTTGCGAGAAGAGGATCACAGCGACTAGCACAAAATCTGAAAAGTATATATAGTATATATAGTCTATAGTCTATAGATCTGCTAGTTAGTTAACACTTACCCAGCACAAAGCACGATGAGGTGGCCGTAAACATGGCCGATGCGGTCAAGAGCATCACATTCTCAAAGTAGAAATTGCCTGTCATTGCCGCGCCCACACTCGTCGCGAACATGGCCACCAGAAAGGAGGCGACAGTTGCCTGGACCTGCACGAGCGCTATATTCCCCACAATCATGCGCACCACATTCGAACGGGCCGTCATATTGCCCAGATTCACCTGCGTGGAGAGACGCGAGGCGAGGCACATGTCCAGATTACCCTTCAGCCCTAGCAGCGCCGGCACCAAAATAAACAGCTCACTGACGTTCTTGAAGACATACCATTTCTGCGATCACAAAGCGCAATCATAAAAATTAGTTATTATTGCTATATATACAAATAAATAGATATGTAGTATTGGGAGAGATTTATGGCTGTTCATAAATTGCGATTGAAATCTGCGTGTATTAGTGACGTCATTGTCGAATCGAACAAGGCTAGGCTATATATTATATTGTTTATTAATTGATTTGATTTCGGTTTTGGTCTTGGTTTTGGTTTTGGTTTTGGTTTTGATTTCCTAACTGTGGTTCGATGGTTCGTCTTTTATCATTTTGGTTTCGATTTGGCTATAACAGGCAGCTGCTGCCCGTAACTGGAGCAGCGTTAAATTATTACCAGAATTTTCAGACTAATTAGCAGCCCAATAAATATTTATTTGCCTGCCCAAAACTTTTGGCTCTTAACAGCTATTCATTGCTAACTTAAATCGAAAGGCGCATGTATTTATATATGATGACGTAGGATTTGAGCTATGAGCACTCGCTTGGATGTCAAGATAATGGCACCAGTCGGCACTGCTCGACTCACAAATGCTCTGACTTTTCTGCTAGAGAGAAAGTGAACAGCTAGTTAGGGAATCCTTAAGCCTAATTTGTAGATTTTAAGAGATTTTTCGAGGCAACAATATTTCTAATTTTTATTTAATTTTTCTGCGCTAAAAGGACTAAGCTTTATAGGACTCTTAATGCTGATCAAGAATATATATACTTTATATTGTCAATCATGCCTCCTGCTGACTGCAATGCTAAAAATCAGCATATCAAAAATCGTTATAGTCCGAGTTCTCCACGTCTCATATAGAGCTCGCTTGTATAGGGTATACAAATAATATATATATTCTGTTATCAAGTGAATGAATTTACGACGTAAAAAGAGGGCATATCCCAAAATTCTAAGGTAGCTGTTATATATAGAACATATAGTTGTTGGAATAAACCAATTAAAGTTGTAAAACTTTGGAAGCTACGATTTCTTTCGATTAACCACGCCCACAATGAGCGTTGATATATGTACTATATATTACTAATCATGAATTGTCTACATGAGTAATCATTCCAAATTTCAAGTGCTGGATTTCCTGATTTATCACGCCTCTGAAGGAAAAGATCTTAGCATTTTATCAGAAGAGGATAGCAACGACTATAAATTCCACATTTCAAGTGTCTAGCACAAAACCTATATACTCCAATTTGTCATATAGATAGATGTATATGGATATATAATATAATATACAAACGGAGTAGATCGGATATAAGCAGCAGCATCGATAGATCGATCTTATAGGCAGATCTTAGCACCTGAATTTGTAGATCTCTTTGTTTAAAACTGTGGCAATAATAGTTCTTAAAAATAGTAGTAGAAATACCCAACCCAATATCTCTAGTCTCTACCCACCATAGCCACTTAGCATGATAGATCTGATTGTTAACAAATTTCCTCTATAAATTCATTGAACTTTCTCATATTGATAGATCTATACGGAGATGGAGGAGATCGGACATAATCGATCATATAGAAAACCAAAATAAATAGACTTAATCATCTTCGATTCGTACTTCAATCAACAATCGTTTGTTCTATGCACACAGCTTTCGCGTGGGCTATAAATAAAGTTGTTCGATCAAACAAAAAGGAAGAGGCAGAGGCAATGAGACAACATTTAAAGCAGCGAAAGCGTTTTAAGGCAACTAAATGTTAAATTGTTATTTTGAAAGAATACATTTAGTTGGCAATTACGGCAAATGGAATTGTTGTTCACTTAGAACAGCTGCTTTCGTGTGCTATTTGACAACTTTTCTCAGCGTGGGTAAGCGAACATAAAAATAACAGCCCATTTCGATGCTTGGCTTGGCTTAGCTTTGTTATCTGTAATTTTAATGAGTCGAGCGACGGAGAGACGCACAGGCGGACGGACGGAGTGACTGAGAGAACAGTCTGTCATTAGATTTTACAATTTAATTTGCGTGTCATTTTAATTGTGCGCACCTCTTTTATCTAACGACATCTTGCCACTTGCGCAATGCCAATGGGGCAATTTATGAGATTTATCAAACTCACAGCTAGGCAGCGGCAGCGACAGAGACAGACAGTTTGAGAAAGGGACAGGCGAGAGCTTTATGTGGCTGCCCGCGCATTAACCAATCAACGAACCGAAAAAAAAAAGAAGTCGAAATCGCATTTGGAGCGACCGTAACACTCCGTGCCGCAATTTGGCTAAAGTGTCAATTTAATGGATCAATCAAAATTTATAGTTACCTCGACGCGTCCCAGTACAATGCCCGCTCCGATGGTGCCGATGCCTGCCAGAAAGAACGGTATGGAGACCTGCAGCAATATGGTGGTCCACTTCTCTTGCTTGATGCCAGGTCGATTGAGTGCCAACTTCTCCTCGGAGCTGCCATTGATGCCCGCAATGCTGGATGCGTCAGCTGCCAGGGCACCAGAACCGATGCCGCCGCCACCGCCGCCGCCACCACCACCACCGCCGCCAGCTCCGCCTCCACCGCTGCCGCCGCCCGCCGCACCTGGATCCGGTTCGGAAGATGCTATGGACGTCGTGATGATTGAGCTTAGTGAACCAGTTGTTGAATGTGGAAGGCCGGACAACTTCTCATTGTCGGGGTCTGTGCAGTGCGTGGATGACAATTGACAAGTGGAAAGAAACAGAGATAGGGAGAGAAAGAGATGCAGTTAGTAAGGGCAAAACTAAAGCTACAATTTCTCTGTGTGTGTGCGTGTGTGGGTGTGTGGGTGGGCGTGTCTGTGTGTGGGTGGCATGCAACTATAGTCAAGAGCGTTGTGCAATTAGCAAGACCATTAATTACCATTACAATAAAAGATTTGTGTAGTCTCAGCACTATTCTCTACCCTTACTCTATATATACAAAAAATGGTGTTTGTAGCAGTTGTCATTGTTGTTGTTGTTGTTAACTTTTTCGTCTGCTGGCCCAAACGGGTTTAGAACAATTATTGTTGCTGGTTTTTTATATATATATTTTTTTTGTGTTTGTGCTAATAAATTACAAATCGTTCGTCCATAAAAGGCGCAGACAACAAAACAAACAAACAAACAACGGCAGCAACAACAACAACGACAGCAACAAATAGCATGCAATAATTAATAAAGATTTTTATGTGGTTTATCATTCATTATAAACATGCATACGATCTGCGATTGTGCGCTTATAAAATAAGAATAAATATAATAAAAATAAAAAGAGTCTGACATGAATTTGAATTTGAATTTGAATTTGTTGCTCTTTATCGCGTTATCATACAATGTTAGTTAGTGTAACACTCTGTGTGTGTGTGTATTTCCTATGCTTTCAAATCAGTTTGAGCATAATTTAAAAATTACAGCTGAATATTAGGCATATAAGTTTATAAAAGGAATTAATATAGCGTCGATATGACCGAGGCTTTGCATAACCTTACAGAGTATACCTCAGCTAAGTCTCAGTTCAAATGACCCTATAGACTAGATCTATATCAGCATAGAACTTCTGAACTCTTCGTTTCTAATACTAGCATCTAACACATATTAAGCTACCACTCACATATACCACGTCGAATGGGAGCCCCAGTCTTAGCCCCATACAATTTGAAGAGCGTTGAGTATGAAAACTTTCCATGAATCTAATCATATTTAGTAACTATAAATCATCAAAATAAAAAAAAATAAAAATCTATCAAAAAACAATTTTTACACTTATTTTATTTTTATTTTGCTTTTATATTTTTTTTAAATTATTTTTGTTGTTTATTTTTTTTTTATTTCTATCTTCTTTTCATTTATTTATTATTTGTGTTTGGTTTCTATTGTTTTTTAATTACTTTTCTAAAAATATATTAAAAAAGAAATTTGAGCCAGATTCATTTCATTCAACTTAAAGTCAACAAATTCAGTTTATAAAACAAAAAGAATATAACTAAGTTCTCAGGAATCTAAACTAACTTTTCGTCTTATTTGTCTTTTAAGCCGAAATCTAATAACCGAAATATATATAGATATCTATTTTATTTATTTATATACACTATGTATGTTATATGTGATATCATATGTGCTTTATCCCGAGATAAACAGCTGTGTTCAGAAAAATAGTAGTGCGGCACTAGCTAATAGCTAAAGGTAGCCGCTACTATTTTTGTGAACGACTAAGGTTTCCCTCTCAAGTCTGAAGCGCACATGTTCAAAAAAGCATTTAAATTAATAAAAATATGTCAATCGTAATATTGATATAATACAATATATTCAAGCTTTATCCCATATATAACCTATATAAGACATATATATACATAATGGACAATCGGACAATGAATCAAATCAATACTTAATACTCTGAAAAGTTGTAATAATAATCATAATCATAATAACTATGCAATTACGATAATAAAAGGTAAGCAAGAATAAGACAGGGATATAGGAAATAGCAAAAGGGAGGCAGAGAGAGAGCTAAGAAATACGAATAAATAAAAGAGATCAAAGGAAACTACGAAAAGTCGGGAGTAGAAGTAGTAGAAACGGGCACAAATAGTAGTTTATCGAGTAGAGCAGCACACTTTGGAGGCAGCAGCATAATCGTGACCGTAATCGTTATCGTTATCGTTATCGCTAATGCGTGCGTTATCCTACGCGGGCATAGTGGATAGATCTTTACGAGACTATGTACAATGAGAGTTGCTGCGGCAGCGGCTGCTGCTGCTGCTGCTGCGAATCTTCTTCTTCTGCTTGCGTCTTCACTCACCGTTTCCATTGTAGATGGCAAATAATTTATATTTATCGTCGATGGCCGAATCGAGCGGCGTTGTCGTTGTCATTGTTGACAACTGTTGCTGGTATATTGGGGGCGTGGCATATGATGAAGACGTTGTTGATGATGTGTTGTTGTTGTTGTTATTGTAGTTGTTGTTATTGTTGGTGTTGTTGTTGTTGTTGTTGTTGCTAATTGCATTGATATTGATGGTTGTGGATAAAGGCGGCGCTGGCGCCGGCGCCACGCCCTCATCGTCGCCAAACTCAGCGGCATCATTGTGCGCTGCATATGTGGAAAGCCGCCGCACATTCAACGGCGAGAGCACAGGTTTCTGCCTCTGCTTCAGCTCATTGGGCACAGGTGTTGCCGGGCTATGGGCTGCTGTGTGGTTGCTGTCTGTGCTAGAGTCTGTGTTGCCTGTTGTTGTTGGTGTTGTGTTTTGATTGTGTTGCGCGTGTGTTGTCTGATGTTCGTTAGGTTGCGACATCTTTGCATTGGTGTGTCTGTCTGTGTGTGCGTGTGTGTGTGTGTTGCTTGGGCTTTAAGCGTGCGCTAAATTATTCTTATTGTTGCTGTGAGTATTTGCAGTAGTTGCGCTATGGAAATACATTAAGTTTAACTACAATTGAAACTAAAACCAAACTATATAGGCCGTTATGTAACTATTAAGGATTTGCTTTGTTTCTGCTATTTATTTATTTATTTATTTTAACTTAAGCGGCTTCAATGTCTTGTGGCTGGCATTGTGCAAAAGTTTTGTCTTCTGCCTTAAAGGTTCTCGATTGGAACTATCACTAAACAAAATCGAAATATCACAACAATTTTATTGACTTTCCCTCACACATATATCGATATATACAATATACATATACATGAAATAAATAAATTAATAAATTATAAATGAATTGCGAGTCTATTTGATATATATATTTTTATATATGTATTTTTTTTTGGAAAATTTTTAAGAAATATAAATTGAATAAAAAATTTTATTGAAAAAAACCAAAGCCATTTGGTTTACATTGTGTGTGTCTGAGTGTGTGTTTGTGTGTGTGTTGTGTATGTGTGTTGTGTGTGTGTGTTGTGTATTGCGTCCTGTGTGTGTGCTGCGTCCAGTTCGTTGTTGTGCGTCCAGTTCTTCGAGGCGGGTGTGTGGGTGTAGGCGTGGCGGGTACTATATCTTTGTTGGGCGGAGACAGGACAGAGCTTTAGTCACCGGACCGTTGATATGGCTGCAAGCAACAATATATAACGTTCACATATATATTGCTGTGTTCTATGGTTGTAGTATGTTATTTGTAGAATATTTAAAAAACAATAAAATGAAAAGAAAAACAATAACAACTCAAGAAACAAAAATGCCACACTGCCGGAAATCAAGTCACGAAACTAAACTTAAGGCTGTAAATGAAATCAGTTGACGGCAATACTTTTACTTTAAGACTTTTGTGCTGCCCCAACGTGTTGCACTTCCGCACGAGCAACAACAATTTCCGTGTTCAAGCCACACCTGCAACACTGTTCATGTTGATGCAGCTAGTTAAAGCCGGCTGGACGCAGCCTTGTGCAGGGCTTCGTTAATTAGCAGCAAATATTTCATACACAGACTTTTCGAAAAGTGAGCAAGAACCTTGCCGACGAATGCAACCGACTGCATAATACTCGTTCACCCACTGGGATCAGGTTTATAGAGACGCCTGTCTAATCCTGAACATGTCATATGCATTTCAAGACTTAAAATAGAGCTTAAAATATAAAAAATTATAAATAGCTGAACATTTTATAGTCATGCCAAGCCAGATATATAAGGAATATATATATATATATGATTAGTTCGAACTGTAGAGAAGTTTGGCAGCAAAATACGGTGTTGATGATACGGAGTTGAGTTTATATGTATCGAAAATTTAAATAATTTTCGATTCGAGTATCAAATTCCAGTTGCACACACTAGCTTGGCACTGCAAACCAAACCAATATGCTCGTCTCAAACCACTGAGCGGGTATGAAAACTTATCATTAATTTGTTAGTCGGTTTTGTTTTTGTTTCTGTTGCTATGGTCAGTCAACGACTCATTTGTTTCTTTTGATATAGGTATTTGAATATTTATATATATATATTTTTGGTGTTTTTGTATTTTTCAAATATTTTTTGCTGACTGCTGGGAAGTTAGGGACCTGTTTCCATTCGAAGCGTGTTTGGCGGCCCACACATTTTGCATTTGCATTAATGAAAACATTTAAGCAGCGGACAGAAAAGCAACCAGTTTGGGTCATCCGAATGTATGTTAAAGTGAAAAACATGCAGCTGCTGCAGCAACAGCAGCAACAGCCGCCAAACAACTCAAGCAACAAGTGGTTGCCAAGCGATGCCAAATAATCCAAGCCAATCGCACTGGCGTCTATTGGGCAGGCTTTGATCATTTGAGGCTTTTCAAGTTTATGGACATTTGACAGGTTATTTGATTAGATTTCGAAGCGATTGTTTTTGTTGTTGTTGCAGCGACAACGACGCCCAGCGAAAAGATGCACAAAAGTCAAACCGTAACATGGTCACGTGAGGAAAGCTTGTCGTAAATCCAATCAAGCCCGTATATATATATTTAAAAACATTATATATATTAGAATTGGCAGCAACAATTGATAAGGCTAAAATTATCAAATTCTGATAATCAAAGGCCTTTATAAAAATTGTAATGAAATTTTATGGCCAAGCATCAGATTTGCTAAAACTAAATCTGAAGTAAAGCTCTAATATATTCAGATTTCCAAGTTACTTTAAACTTAGGTTTTTTTCGGCTAGCTTTGATGTGCTGTAAAAATTATTTTTAAAGAAATACTGTTAAAAAAAAATCTTTTTATAATTTCTTGAATATGTTTATTTGTCATGAAGCTATCATCCATTGCCGATAGCTTTTCGCTCTCGCCAATAAGCCATTTTCTGAATGGATTTTTACCGGAAATGATTAGTATTTTTATATAGTCTAACGAAAATTTCTAAAAACAAAATAAATAAAAAACACATTTAACTTTCGAATTTGAAAATTGAAAAAAGTTTAGCCAATTTGTTGTCAACTCATTTCTGTTAGAAACATATGACAGCTGTCTAGATTTTATATCACTTGTCTAGATTGTAGATAATATTCATTATATTTTATGCACCTCAATTAAAGTATATGGAAAATTAATGATAGCTACTTAGAGCTCTACAGATCGCAATCAAACACATTCAAAAGCAGTTCAATGTATGCGTGTGTCAGCATGTGTAAATAAATAATAAAAAAGAAAAAAAAACAATTTCAGATACAATTTCCGAAAAGTAGCATAATCTAATCAGTGTAAAGCTCATTTGGAATTGCTTGGCTTATGACAAATACCAAATGGCAAAATACTATGGGCCAAATTCACTGGAAAGTGTCAGCACGTGGCATTGAGATTATTTACAGCAGTGATGCACTTCAAATTATATAGCACATTTCCTCGCATATAGCGTACGTCAACAATTAGGAAGTATCGATAGACGATAACACTAAAAGAAATCAAATAGAGACACTGAAAGGCAAACAGAAGTAGAACATCGACTGCATAGAGATCACAACAAAATATTCAGATATCTAAAAGTAATTTTCAGTATCGATTTCATCTCTAAGAAATTATCGATCGGCTAACAGAAACTATTAATAAATACTTTATAAGGACTCAACTGAAAGATTTAGTTATATGTTTAGCAAGAATTTGAGTTTTCGATAACTAATTTATCGATAAACAATAGCGCTGTATCTGTATACATATAGAAGTCGACTTAAATTGAAAGACAAGCACCTGCATTTAGAATATGTGTTAGCCGACTTTACGAATTTATCGATAACGATAACAATGCCTGAAGCGTAACTAAAGAAGGAATTACTTTTGAGTAAGCAAAAATCAACTATTATGAGTTGCTTTATCTAGAAACTGCGCAAGTGTATGTGCGGCTATATTTGTCAATCTGCCCTCTTATCGATTAACTAAGCGATAAGCAAATATACCCTTGGATGCTGCATGATTCACACAAAGGAAACAAAGCTACAAAGAAAAATAGAAAAACAAACTAATCTAATCCGAAATCGAATCCAAAATTTGGTGTAGGTGTAGACATATATATAAATATATATATATATATATATATATTTATATATATATGTATGTGTGTGTAATGTTTTTGGCACTCGAAAGCGATAATATTTCAATTTGTGACTTTTGAATGCGTTTATCATTTGGTTTAATGTTGAAATCGATTGACTTTCTTATCAAGCACCTGACTACGAGGGGACAAAGTAGTCGATGGCAGTATTTTTTATAGCCGTTAAGGCTGACAATAAGGTAATAGGATTATGTTGATTTCAGCAATAATTGTTATGCAAAGTTCGCATTGCGCATACGACCCGCTGTACGTTGAAATATTTCTGAAGACAACTGAGACGAGAGCAATTTAGCTTAATGAACACAGCCACAGCCACAGCCACAGTCAGAGTCAGAGTCACAGTCACAGTGACTGTCACAGCCACAGCCGCTGCCACAGTCAAGTTCAAAGCCGCCGGAGAGACGGTGAGACGGACGGACTGACGAACCTAATTACTTGAAAAGCTGACTAGCTGCTAAATTGCAGTAAAAACTACAAACTAAGCCGTAAAATCAAACAAAACGCGGCAGTTGTTTTTTTGTTTATATTATTCTTTTGTTGTTCTTGTTGTCGTTTTAGTTTATTGTCAAATTGATTTCTTCTTTGTGTTCGCTTGCTCAATTGAACTGGCACATAATTTCAATTCAATTCGTTCCGATTCGATTTTAAATGCGGAACTCTGGCGATGACTAGTACGTAAATTGTATAACTGTTTCCCTGTGTCCATACACTATTGGCAGCTATATATCCACATTAGTTAGCTGTAACAATTTCTATCTTGCCTGTTCCTCAGCTCAACTGAGTCCCAGTCGACGCTAGACATGCTGCAGTTGGGGTTTGACTGCTGTCAGCAGTTTGGGAATAGCACAACTGGATTTTAGCTCAGCACGTTTTCAGCCAGCTCTGTCGCTTGGCATTATGAACTCAAAGAAGCTGCATTTATAAGTATCTCTTAAAAGCAGCTACTCATTGTGCTGTGATGATTGATTGATCATCATCAATTGCACTTCGTATCGCTGGCTAATGGTACATTAGATGAACACATTTTATCAGTTCTGGCACGTCAATCAAAGAGGCTACAAAAACTTTTAACTACCAATAAAAAATTCAGCTGGCATCAACAGCGACACTTGCAAATATTCGCAAATGGCTAATAGGAACCCCACCAGATCTGACAATCTGAATGATAAAGCATATGGAAATGAACAAAAAATCAAAATTTCAGCAATTTGCAAAAATATTTTATAGGTTCTTTGTTTTTTTCCACTTTTTTTAGCATACACAAGTAACTGCTGTGGCGTGGGTGGACACAGCAGTTACTTGAATTACAATAATTAAGGAATTACAATACTTTGATCAGAAATTAGTTTTCAACATGATTCAAGCCGAAGCAATGGCAATTTTTTATATTGGAAATCGATTTCATATAAACACAACTGATGGACTGTCCAAAAGCTACTCGAAAGTCATAACAAATCGCTGTCTTATTTAGAGTATTCTCAAGTTTTGGCCAGCTCAGTCGCTCGCACTTCTTTGTTCCGAAATGAAGCAGGAAATGAGATTCGCATCAAATGAGGAAATTGCAGCTCAAAATCAAATGAAATTGACAAATCAGAGCGCACTTATTGAGTCAAACATTTAAGACGACCCTCGTTAGTTTCATGCTATGATATGATATGTAGCATCTGTCGTCGTCGTCGTTGCCGTCTAATGGCCCCGTGGCCCGGACCGTGCGATCAGCAATCCGCTTAAAAAAATACCGTAGTCTCGGTGCCTGAAATGAATTTGCAAAACGTGAGCTAAATATGCGCCGTCTGTTAATTTCTATTTATTTTCATTTATTGTGATTAAGCTGCAGCACTGTCGTCAACCTAAAGTCGCACTATATATGCATACATATGCATACATACATAAATATATATATATGTATATATGTTTAAAAATTCCTATATTGTATAGGCGCTTAGCTACCAGGTTTTAACGTTCTTTACTTTGTACAAATAAACGATGCAAAAGGGATTTGTAAATGGTAAATGCCCAACTAGCAGATACTCTAACTCTTATAAGGGATGATATAATGTAAGCTAAGCTTCCCTTATGATGGCTTGAGAGAGGGTGGAATAAGTTGATGGAACGAGAGTAACAGAAAAAGAGAAGTAGCGAGAGAGAACGAAAAAAGGAGAGAGATAAAAAGAAAGAGAAAGATAGCGAGAGAGGAATGGATAGAAACAGGTATAGAGAGAGAAAAAGAGAGTGATAGAAAGAGAAAACGAAGTACTCTGTGAAGCCAGTGAAACGTTTCGGTACTCAGCTAAAGAGAATTAAAGAGAATTCAAGTTAAACTCCCGTTCTCCCCCAGCGAGCGAGTAAAGAAAAAGGAATATTTAAAAGTAACTAAATCGTAGCCAGTGAAACGTTTCCGTATACAACATAAGGAATACAATTCAAAATTCATTAGTGCCTCTATATATATGCATAAGTTTGCTCAGTGATCTATTTCACATGCTGTGATAAAAGGAATGGTTAACTAATCCAATGAGTCATGAGTACAGAACAACAATAGTATCTTGAGCTCTCACGCTGCATAGCCAGCTAAGTGTTGCTAATTGCGAATTGTTAATACAAATCGATCTGCAGCTAATGCTGAATATTTATGAATGATGCTCGACATTTGAAACGATTAATTCATTAATTGATAATGCGAATGAAGTAATTGAAAAGTGACATAGAACAGCCGTTAGGTAGGCGAATCGTTATCTACATAATTTACATGTAATTAACTTTGCCGCTGTCGCTCATGAGCTTAGCTATTAAAAAACGTGTGGCCAACATGACGGCTACGTAATTTGTTCATTGATTCAGACCTGCATATATGCAAATTGAAGAGGCCCCCAGCACGTGTGCGACTGTCTCCCTTCCACAGACACTCACTCACTCACTCACTCACTCTCTCTCTCTCTCTCTCGCTCGCTCTCCCGCTCAGTGGGCCAGTCGTACAGAGTGACAATTTGTATACAGAAATTTGCATTTCCAGATTTTGTTTTTTCGATGTAAACGAACTTTTTAATGCAGTCACAACTAAATCTGATCGTAATAGTTCATAATTGATTCGCAGTCCGATATGGGCGATGTGCTAATTGCAAATATACATATTTACATAATAAATATATATATAAATATATATATCTCATGCTTATATTACATTTGACGCCTGCCGCACAAAAAGCATTTCTATTGAAATTAGCATTTTTTCGGCAATTCTGTTTGGTTATTTCATTTCATATTCACTTAACTTTATTGCAATTTATTTGACAACAAGTTTTTGACAGCTAGCTTCTATTTACTTACTATATGACAGCCAAAAAAACATAAAAGCCTGAGTAGCAACCGGGTCCAAACGACTTACTAATACTCTGTTTGCAGTTGTAATTAGCAATGGAAATGGAATTCATTTTTCAAACTTTGTTTGCCAACTATAAAACTAAGTCTATATATTGTTGTGGCTGTGAAGCTGTCAAGAGTTTAAATCATTTTTGCTATTTGTAAAGGCGGCTGTGGGCGTGGCTCAGTCGCTTATTTAAATGAGTTGAGCAATAGTCAGGCAGAGTTTGGCTTTGTCTTGCTCCAAGTTAACACAGAATTTTGTTAGCTGAAATTTTGTTATATAAGAAGCCAATAAACTCCGTTTGATATAGCAAAGAAGTAATCTATGCAGAAAGTCTATATACTGCCAATATGCTCCATTCGTTATAACAATGAACTCATTTAACCACAGCTGAAATAGCCAACATATTCCATTTCATATAACAAAGAAGTCATCTATATAGATTGCCCATATACTCCATTGTTCATATCAAAGAAATGTGTAATATATCTATGAACTGTTTAGAAAGCCAATATACTCCTTTTCAGCTAGCAAAGACGTCAATCTTTGTGGGATGACGACTGACGCAGGTGAAACCGTAGGAGATTCTGAGACATTGATTGCTATTTATTTTTTATTTTCATTATATATATTCAGTTTGATTAATTTATGACAAATTTTTATTTTTTAATGAATGAAGCGACAAGAGGAAGCCGACTTGGTTACGAAAAAAATAAAATACAATAAGCCAACAACAATTTTGTTGGCTCTAAAGTATTTGGCATTAACGACGTCATCGGCCTGAGAAAAGTGTTAAATGCATCAAAATACGTAAGCCTATACAAATATACATATGTATACTCGTATATACATATATATATATATATATACATAAAGATGTATGTGTGCATATCTGTATTCACAGAAATTTGATTAAAAAATAAAACCGAACTGGAACTGTAGCAAATGTCATTCAACTTGACTAAAAGAGGAGAAGAAAAAACAGTCATAAGACAAAAAGTTCACGCCTGTATGCACAGTCGATGCACATATATATATCTATATAAAATACATACACACACATATATATATATATATATATATATATATATATATATATATATATATATATATATATATATATATATATATATATATATATATATATATATATATATATATATATATATATATATATATATATATATATATATCTATATATAAGCACACATTGTAAAGGGTCATCAATCCATCAAGGTTCGTCACATTTATCATAAATATTACGACTTCGAAAACTTTACAGTAATATCTTTTTTTAATGATCAGCCAGTTGGGAAAAAACAATAAAGTTTAATCTAATACATATGTAAAAACCTGAAACTCTCACTTTTTTCAATAAATCCAGAGTAATAATTCTATATCTAGTCCAGCTTTCTATATAAGCCAAGAAATTATCTCAACATTGTTAAAGATCAAGTCATTGGCATCTACTTGATGTAGATAGAAAGTATGAAAATTGCTAGCTGTGCCGATTTTAAGCCGGATCTCCGAACAAATCAAAAACCGAACCGAAAATTTCAGCAAAAACATTCTCTTGAAAAATGTTGGATATAACAAAAAAATATTGAAAATATAATTGAATCAGATGCGAAGCAAGATCAAAGATCGTAGCGAACCTCAAGGATGGAAAACTTAACCAAGCAAACGTGATCGAGATATGTGAGCATCAATGAAAGAGTTCTGGATCAACTTCTGTATTGACTCAGCAGGGGTATATATTAATTTTATGGAAACGATCACGTCTCTTTCTGGCTGTTAGCCAGATTGTTAAGGTCTTCGGGGCATACAAGGGCAGAGAAAGACGAAGAGAGAAAGGCAATACTGCCAAATAGATTCAGTTGTGTGACAGCGATATAAGACTAAAACTGAGACCTGAATATGAGACAGAATCTCAGTTGAAGTCTGGGGACAGCCTCATTAGCAGCACGCATCAGTTCAACAAAGAAAAAATAAAATAATGAGAAGTTTGCACACTAAAGCTAACAGCTGAGGTTAGATTTTGTCTTTTTGCTTTTGATTTTTGCTTTTGCTTTTGTGATTTATTGTTTTTGTTTTAGTTGGGCTGAAACAGTTCACTTAGCGAGACTGATGACAATTTTGATTCCATGACCGAATTGTGCAGGCCAAAGAGCCACATGTCGACTAGCTAAATACCCTGTAAAGCAGAGCAAGGACACGAGCTGTGCGAAAAAATATTGAGATATATTTAGTTATATTTGAATTCAGTTCAACAATTGCAAATTGTGACCCTTGCAGGCCATTCACAATGGCCAATTGATTGTGACTATGGCAACGCATTGTCTGTAGGGCAACAAACGACAAGCAACAAGCAACAGCTAACAAACACGAATGCAATTTGGCCGTGAAAACGAAATGCCAGCAACATAAATTAATTATTATTATTTGTATATTGTATTGAACAATGTTTTTTTCTATTTTTTTATTTTTTTTGTCTTTGGCAAATTAATATTAACTATGCATTAATTAAATGCTTTTGTTGTGTATATTTTTTTTTTAAATTTTTTTCTTGATTTTTTTTGTCTGCCTTTCGATTCGCTTGGCTTTGGCTTTGGTTCCGAAACCGCGTCGAACCATTACAAAAAAAAACTTAATTTTTTTTTAAAATTTATTAATTAATAACTGTTTTCAGTTGTTGTTAACCAACAGCGAATTGTTTGCAGTGCATTATGTTAAATGTTTTGCCAGCAGATAATTTAATTGCTTTTTTCGCTGCTGCGTTTCTTATTGTTTCCATTTTATTGCATGCGAATTTACATTTATTATTTATAGAATTTATAAGAATTGTATTTATTTGTTGCTTATTTCTTATAATTTTTACAAGTTCAAGTTGCAGTTTGCTTAAGGTCATGTGGTGAACATCGAAGGTAAGTGGAGCGGGCAGAGCAACACAAAAAAAAAAATAAATACAAAACTCGACAGGTATCAGAAGGCAAGATTAAACGATTCTCTAGTTATAAATACAATTAGTCTCCAGTTCTATTTTAAAATATTCCCATTCTTTTGCTGCCAACACAGGTGCTGCAGTTAAACGGAGCAATTATATTTACATTAGCCCCTATATCAGTCATATACTATATATACAAAGATATAGTTTTTCAATTGATTTCCGCCTGCCTTTCTACTGCCAGCCTAATTCATTCCTGCAGCTATCTTTAACTGTAGCATTTTTCTTCTTTTTTTTAATTTTTTTCTTTTCATTTTTAGTATATTTGCAAGGCTTACTTATAACTTCACAGTGGCACTTAGCTTACACTTTTACGTTATTATTTTTCGGCACTAAATTTAAAAATAAACGCTTTTTTTTTTTTGTAATTTATGACAATTGGATTTTTAGTTAACTTTTGAAGCGTTTCAAATTTTTTTTTTTTAGCTTTCTTGATTTATTTAACTATTTATTTATTTTTATTCCTTTTCTTTTACTTTTTTTTTTTTTTTTTTGCACAAACAAAAACAACAAAAAAGTCGTAACAAAAGGGTCTGCCGCGCTGCTTCCGTAGCTATTTAAGTTCTGTTTTTTTTTTAATTGTTTTTTTTTTTAGTATTTAATTGGACTCTGTTTTTTTCTTTTTTGGCGACGTCGTCTGCACCGTACGCCGGGATATTGTACACTGAATGTCCAAAGACGGCAAACACTTGTTATTATAACGCGTCAAAGCGTTTCATTAAGCGTCGCAGCGACGCTAACAGAGGCAGCGACAACAACGACGACGACGACGGCAACAGAGCGTGCGCTTAGCTGCTGAACAACGCCGCGATCTGGCCGAATCAATAAGCCAAGCGAGCGACTAAACGTTCGACAGCTCCGCGACCCAGCTGGCTAAACTTCGAGCCTCCCAGCCAGAGGCGTTAACAACGCCGTCGGAGCCTGTTGATAAGCCAGCTACGACGCGCTCTCAGCAGCGATAACGTCGTCGTCGTCGTAGTCGTCTTCGTCATCATCGTTGCGAGCTACTTTTGTTATCAATTGAAATCAAGTTCATTTGTCGATAGCCAAAGCCAAAGCCAAAGCCAAAACCCGGGCAAAGTAGTCCAAACAAAAACAAAAGCAAAAACTCAACTGTCTAAGATCAATGAATGAAAATGCTGCCAGTGTTGGCAGCGACAGCGGCAGCGGTAGCAGCAGCGACGCACACACACCGTTAGAACGCACGCTTTATGCCAGCTGCTCGGCTCGCCAGGGCACGACTCGGCTGGGCTGGGCTGGGCTCGGCTCGGCTTAGTTCAACTCAGCTCAACTCGGCTGGGCTCGGCGCGGCTCGGCTCGCCTCGGTGCGGTGCAATTCGTCTCGGCTTGGCTTAGCATGGCTTCTCGGCTGTGACAAACATCAGTACTTTGACAGTTAGTTGGCTCATTACTCATTATTAATTGTCAGCTTGAGTGGGCCGGCGCACGGAACGTATGGCTGATGCGAAAGAGTTACGGCCACCAGGCCCGTTATACTTATACTATGGCAAAGCCACGTTATTTACAACTGCATAAATACAAATAGATTTTCAGATTTTGTTTTACGACCCCATTTCGTAAGGCCCCCAATTCTTGGGCGCATTTATCTTTTTTTAATTTTTTTTAAAATTGGTTTTGGTCAGGATGGGCGGCAGCTCAGGCCCGTTTGCTGTGAGGACGTTGCGTCAGCTTTAACGAACATGCCGATTTGACACGATTCATGCATTTGGAATACAATTAAAACTGTTCAAACTGCAATTCAAATTTTGTTAGTAATAAATTTTTTTTCTTAAATATTCCACGCGCAAAAATGAAAAAATAAAAACCTAAACAAAACAAACCAGGTTTATATATATATATAGGTAAGTCCGCAGATCAATGGCAAGTTTCGCTGGAGATAAAAAACATGAAAAGCATTTTAGCTTTCGGGTCTGAGCCAAGCAAATTACCTACAAAAAAATAACGAAATGACGCACTACGACTGAGGAACACTCTATGCGTTCGACAATTGGACTGAGCATAATGCCATCGATATATATATATATATATATATATATATATATATATATATATATATATATATATATATATATATATATATATATATATATATATATATATATATATATATATATATATATATATATATATATATATATATATATATATATATATATATATGTAGAGACGTGCGTAATCGACATCATGTTCGTTGCCAAAAGAAAAATAGGTAAAGAAAAGAGAAAGAGAGAGAGAGAGAGAGAGAAACCAACAAATAAACAGGTTTATCCGCATCCGGATAATTGATATAAAAATGCTGACGATGATCGCCCATTTCTCTAGCCATCTCGTTTGCACACCGAACACCCCGTGGCACTTCATATAAATCTATATATATATATATACCTATACAATTATTTTTATATTTTTCCCCAATTTGAAAACATCTTAAGAATGGCTTGCTGCAGGATGTAGACTGAAGAGTTTGTGCCAAATTGAATGGGAACACACTCGAGCTAAATTATGAAGTGGCCAAACAAGTCGTAGGTAGACCCATAAATAAATATTTATAAATAAATGTTAAGATAATAAGGCAATCAACAAGATCAACAGCTAACAAATGATCAAACAATTGTTTCTAATTATGGCAAGTCAAAAAAACAAAAAAAAAACAAACAAAATTCATAAACAACCCAAAAATATTGCTGCAAATCATTATAAAACGAAGTTTATTAATATCATAATATATATATTATTTACTATACATACATATATGTTATATAGCTTCGATCTATTTCGAACTCTTAAGTATTCAAATTATATTTTAAGCTGAATTCATTTGCCTTCGTCTAGGAGACGAACAGACGCTGAAAATTTGAGTGCAAGCCATAGACATCCTTATATATAGATATACATAAGGAAGGCTATATACATATATATATATATATATATATATATATATATATATAACACATATTTAAGTTTAGTCATTAAAAAGTGTTTAACGTGTATAAAAAAAGCACAAAATGTAAACATTAAGAGAATCCGCGTTAATCAGTAAGCAAAACATGAACAATTCGCGCAGGGTTCCGGGTACGAAACTTGGCTTAAACTATGTTTGCGCTGGGCTAGGGGCGTAGAAGGCTATGGTAACCAGTGCTGTTTGCTCGTATAATTAAAATACCCATATATATAAACCTAGATGTAGACGTGGACTTAAAACAATTTGAAGAGATTTACTAGAAATATTACGTATACGCCCCGCATTACAAAAAGGTTTTATTATTAATAAAAGCCAAAACGATCTAGCTTTAACTGTCTGCAGATTATCGATAACATTTACGCAAATCGATATCAACGATAAGTTGTTTGCGCATATCTCGGAGCTTAGGCAGCCCATAACTTCCCCTATCAAAGTGTTGTCTGAGGCTTCTCAGGTATTTCCTAGCCGGACACACTTTTATGCCCTTCATTAAATATTAAGTGCATATACTAAGTGTGCAATTGATAATAATCAATGTCTGGTGACAGTTCGATGATGCTAGAACCGAATAGATGAGAATACGAAAAAGTTTTGTGTTTGGGAAAAACATTTAAGTGAAGTCCAGAATGCTATAGACGCGGGGGGACGAACAGAATGAAGATGCGCAAATGGATATGTTACGTGTGAGTCATGACTGGCTGGCTGACTGGCTGATTGGTAAGGATAGAGACTATATCACGTTTGTGAGTGTGATTGTGATTGCGAAATTAACCCGAGTGGGGAACTTTTCGTTTCAGACGTTGCACAGATAATGGATACGCGGCCCGACACTTATGTACTTTCTTAATAGCTCTAGAGGGAGTTGGGGTCTGGGCGATTGCGGAAACAGTTGGGAAATGCACAAAGGCAACTTGCGTGTACTTACATACATTAGCGCTTATCAGCCAGCTGAGCGGGGGCCGCAGGGGCGGGGTCGCGTCTCATAAGAAACAGAAGCCTCGCTGGGGCGGGGACTTACACGCGGTACGTGTGCGAATGCTATGGCAATTTTTAAAGTGTTTTACTCGAGCGACTTGTAGTTAGTCGTATTTGCTTATCGACAGACAATTGACTATTGCCGGGGGCGACGAGAGCGGGGGCGGGCGTAGCGGGTGTTCAATCAAATTGTTGGATAATGGTCAATCAACTGCCAGCAATTGCCGATTGCTTTTTGATGCCGCGTCGATCCAATGTCTATCAGCGATCAATTTTTATTGAGATAGAGGGGCGGGGGGGAAGAGGCATACCCTAAACTTGAACTTGAACTCGCAACTGTTGCTTAAATTATAAGCAAGTAATATTGTTGATGCGATCTCCACCTCCCTCCAGATAAATGTATATATGTATCGGTGTGCCTCTGAGTGTCTTATGCACACGCTATCGAAAATTAGCAGGTGCAATTGCTACATGCACTGTAGCAAACTACACCTCAGCCCATCCAGCCGCCCACAAACCATGGCAATTAGACACATGTAATGCGCTTAATTGCATTTCGCAAAACAGAACCGTGACTATTTGAAATATGTTTAAATCATCATTATCATCATATCAGCGGCTCATACGCTCGAAGGTCCGAGGCAATCGTGTGGCATCGACCAAGGAATTTTCAATGCCATTCAATGGGCCCTATCACTCCAGAAGAAGAACAAAAAATAACACTCAAGTGGCAATCAGCGTCGCGCCTGTCACTTTCTATTCCGGCAATCTAATCGCCTTTCAATATCTTTAATTCCAACTATTTGTCTACCTATGTAGCTCTGTTTGTATCACGGCAAAATCTTTGCTTCTCATGTTGGAAAGTTCCCACAAATCGAAAAATATATACTGTAAGACTTCGTCTATATGTGCCAGCAGCAACAAAGTAACTACAATTTGTTATCATTCCATATATTCTCTAAAGATTTACGCTTCTAGCTGAGAATTTAAAACGTTTTTTCTGCTTCTTATTTGCATTTCGTAATTAACTTTTGCCTTTGAGCAGAAAATTTCCTTAAAGCAGATTTATAGATTTGAGGTATTCAAGTTGATAATATATAAATTGTTTCATATGTACTTATTTTAAATTGTGCCGCGCCCCAATGGGCGGTTTTTGTAGACTTTTTGTAGCGCAGCTCTAAAAGTGCAAATTACTAAACTTTAAATTGCTAGCAAAGCTTTGTAATGCTCCCGGAAAGTAACGGGATTTTTTCTTTGTAATCAAACAGGTAAATTACCTTTTCACTTGGTTTATGTTTTGTGTAGAGCGGCACTACTATTTTTATGAACACAACTGCATAAATATTTATATTAATATCTATGGAGTTTATCTGTAGAGTAGATCAACAGAAATAACACCTGTCAAATATCTTAGGTGTGTGGATGGAAGCAAAGTTTTGCTATAGTAATCGTAACTCAACAAATTTTGACTAGT